CTAATATGAACTGGTATTCCACACATCCCTGCAGCCATCTGCATTACATAGTCTCAAAGTATGTAAACCTTCAACTCTGGGCATAAATTCTTTAGCAACATTTCATCAAAGATTTCATTCAAATACGACCAAATCTCATTTTCCATCACTTCAAATAAATAGTAACTCCAATAGCACTGGTATGGTGCTACTTCAAAATAGAAGGATACAGCATCAAAACGCTTGTTCAGTTTCTCAATGTCCAGTATAGGCCTCAAAAACCAGTTCCTAGTTGACAATTGAGTTAATTGGTCAGAGGATTGAGGTAGCACTGACAGATCAATAGTAACAATGTTGATTCTTGATTGTCAACTAACCTCAAAAGACGTCTGCCCATTGGCGTTACACACTGGCACAGTCAGAAATTATCTATCCAGTCAGCAATTGCAAATTAAGACTAGAACAGGCTATTAAAACCTAACAGCAGCTGCTGACCTTATTCATCATTCCAAATAAAGAGAACCTGCACTTGAGGGTATTCTTCAATAGTTATTTTCAAGTTAATAAACTCAGAACCCCAACTATGGTTCATAATTTACCCTTCTTTTGCCCTGCCAATCCCCATGTGGCTTGGATGTTTGTCAATTTGGAATATTTGCAGTGCCTCATGTGCAGCTGAGTCAACTTTGAGAAACTTGTTTCTGCGGTTTTTGTTAATTAGAGCATTGCACTAAACTTTTGGATGAAATATAACAAGAAAATCAGATCATATGAATCAAAAATTGGAGAACTTAGTATTCAAGTTTGTTAAGATACAGTGAGATTTCAATGACTGAGTCAACAGCAATGGATGCACTTCCACACTCCTTCTGTTCAAGGGTGTCTATAATCCTTTCATTCTCTAGAACCGCAAGAAGCCCTCCAGTTGCACGAACTTGGACCTCACTTTGAATGTCCATCATGGAGTTCAGCTAAAATTATGAAAAGAAACCGGTTAGATACGATGTGAGTGATTGGATACAGTTGATCTTTCATTTTCAGTAACACTACAATACTCAGATTTTCTTTACTTCAAGACATTGGCAAATATATGGGAACATGAGTTCTCTTATAAATTCTCCCTTAACCACCAAACTAGTTCTATCTCAACTTTGCAGATTTTCCAGAGTCTATTCTTGTAGAAAGCATGAGGAAAGAGCATCAAACATCTTTTTGAACGAAAAGCCTGTGGAGTAGCCCATAGTATTGAACAGTCAATTTGAGCTAAACAAAGTGCTTATAATAAGAGGCATGACAGATCAATCTACCACTGAAACGAGAAATTATCTGTACTTACAAAAGACATTCTTTCCTTTATGTTCAACCCATCATCCATCCCTGTGACCCGAAGGTACATTAATCTGGACAAGAACAGAAAAACAAACAAGAATATATGTGAAACATACCACTCTATTAAATGATACCATTTGGGTAGAATTGATTTAACTAAAGAATCTAGCAACGAACTACTGGTGGAATGATAAAATTCTCTGTGAGAACAAAGCTAATGAAATATTTGATGACAGCATCACCAGAAGAACTCATGAAAGTAATGCATAAAAGAACTTGGAAGTTCAGGATTGCTCCAAATGAAAGGAAATGAAATCATAGACATACTCTGCCACATTGATTCTGCATCATAGCGGCCCAACAAGAAACAGAAGAAAGTAGCAATCTGCTAATTCCTTATTTTCTCATATTTGTGAAGTACTTTAGTGGCCAACTAATGGTTATAAGGAACACATATCCTCATTTTACAGAAAAAAGAAAGTTGCAAACATTCAAATACTGCAATGAAACTGTAAGCAAGGACAATTTACTGGTGAAAGAGAGAATAAGTTGAAGTATAGGGCAGTTTCAAGTTATATTCACTTCAGTGGAAATTCACTTCATTTTTTAGACTGAACAGAACTATCCAAGGGGATGTAATAGTGCAACATCCTACTGTATCTTCCGTACCTATGCCATGCTTGCTCGTAGCTGAATAATGAACTCTTGACAAGCTTTACAGTAGCTGCATTACTTGTTCCGTCTGCAATATTTAAACAGGTCACAGTGATTTGACATGCAGGAAATTTTTGCTAGCCACTTTAAGAGTGAGAAAGATACCATTTTTTTGTAAAGCAGCCAAGAACAGCTCCTCGCTTTTTGTGCTTGTGTAAATGATGGATGGTTTGGCTTGATATATTACTGGAGTAGAGTAAGAGGATTTTATAAGATGCATGAAGAAGAAACAAAACATCCCAAGCCAATTTGTCTTTTTCTCAAATTTCAGATGGGATCTCCAAAACCAAACTATCATTAAATCAAAAGACACTTGGGAATGTTACCAATAAATCCCATTCGGAAAACCATAAAGCTGGAAAAGCAATTTTATGCTCTACTGGGGGAAGAATTCATACTCATATCTACCAACGGGAAATCTTCACTTCCATCTTCCCAGAACTCAAGCACGTAAAGCTGTCGGATACTGGAATCATAGTATGAAACTCCAATTCTGAAAATGCAATTTCATTTATCACAAAACTCTTCTGAGATTAAAAGTTAATGTACAATCCCAAACATCATCTTAACATCTAATTACACTCTAAACATTATAGTGCAATATAAAAGAGAGCGCACCTATGTCCTTGCATGATACAAGCCATATAGACCTGCAATAAAAGGCACATTTTAGGAAAATCGTCAACAGCGCACAAAAACCACTAAAAAATGTTCTACATCAGAAGGCAGTACTCTCTACTTCTTATCTTTTGGTTGAGAATTAATGCACAAGCCGACATGTAAGAGACAAGAACCCATTAAATTTGGCTAAAAGTTTCCAACATCTTTTGCAATTTGCAGCATACAGTGACCGAGTCACATATAGAAATTAATCTTCTACTGAAACACTATACCGTTTTCAGTTCAAAGCTCGAATTCATGTAGCAGGTGTCAATTAAAAAACTTCAAAATTCCGTAGAAGAGATTAGAAAAAGTGAAGACATGGATTCTAGCTGAAGAGCTCGAAATGAAGGTGTGAATTGAAACCATACATCGCACGACGATTAGCTAAATCTCCTCGGCTTATGATTTACAGACTCGAGATTCACTAAATTTGATCTTCTTTAATACACTTTAGTTCTTCCACATCAAATTCTTCCATATTAATCCAAACATAAGAACATATCCATCCTTCAAATTCTCTCGGGAAAATCCTGAGGCCTACTTGTTATTTTTGCAGTGATCCTCATATAAGCAAACTACCTCAGCTGAAATATTTTGGAATTGAAATGGCAGAACAAACATTGATTATTTTATCGAAATTGAATTACCTGAGGTGTGGCCTCTGTTTCGTCGACTTCTTCCATTATCCTATAGGCTGAATTTGTCGTTACAGGGAAAAACAGAGAAAGAGCGCGAAAAACTGAAATTTAAAATTGATTCTGTGTTTTAGGCTTCAACTTATGACAGGAAGGGGTAGCCAATGCGTTTGTCCAGAAATAATCAGTCGGACTCTGCTGCTGCTCCAAACGTGATGCCTTTGTAGATGAGAGACGAAGGCGTGGTGGATTAAAGTTGTCAAATACGCCTTTGATAATCAAGGGCTTCTGATTTTGAAGGCGTGGGCTTAAGACGGCAGTAAACAACTGAAGGCGCTATAAAGGTAGGATTCTATTTATTGTGATTTTGAAGTCCTTTTTAATAGAAGGGATGAATTTAGAAACTTTCCCTGTGGCTTATTATCACTCGTTAACATCCCTGCCCTCCCTTACTTCTTTTTTTCTTTTTTGCTTTATTGTTTAATTTTTTACAAATTATGAGTATATGAACAGAAGGTTGAAAATATAAAAGCAAAAAGCATGAAGGTGTAAGTTTGGTGAGCAAAATATAGCACCCACAATCATAAGTAGCAAGTACTAACAAAAATTCCAATCGGTTTATGTTAAAAGTTTACTTGAGTTGTTTTCAAGTTACCAAAAAAAAAATGTTTTGCTTATAGTGAGGTGTTTTGGGTGACTTTAAGAAGTTTCATAAATGGTTTTAATTTTTTTCAAGTGATAATTTCACAAACCTCCCTGAGGTTTTTGACAATTATAGAGAGCATCCCTCAAGTTTTAAAAATTATATGTACCTCATTTACTTTTATTGTTTAGTAACAATATAGGTCAAATAAGATAAATTTTCTCACAATATACAAAATTGCCTTTTTGTACAAGACAAAAAACGAAAAATATAGTATATTCAATCATTTTCTTACACATTTTGCACAAATCAACAAATCTAATTCCTAACAACCATCCAAGTATAAATTTTAAAACTAAATAGTCATCCAAAAGATTTCAAATTATACATACAGTATCAATATTTACCACACAAGAAAAAGAAAAAACCACACACAAACCCTATTGACAACCAATTTTATATCCTAAAATTAAATATCAATGTTTAAATACATTTTCAATGCAAGCTAATGTGGCCTAGAACTACCATTATAAACCTTCTATGTTCTTAAAAATATTAATATCTAAAAAATAAAGAATAAATTTCACCTCCATAATAAAATCATATTAAAAAAATTTATAATCCATTGAAAGAAATTCTTATGTAATTATTAATATTTTATAAAAGCTAGATGATACTTCTGAATAGGGATGTACGCGAGTCAAGCTACTCGTGAGTAACTTGATCAACGGCTTGGCTTGAACTCGGGTTGACTGAGTTCGAGCCGAGTCTCGAGCTACTCGATTGTCATTCGAGTCGAGTTTCGAGCCAAAATTTTGAAGCTCGTGGCTTGTCGAGCTACTCGTCGAGTCGGAGTATTTAAATAATATATTTATGATTTAAATAATATATATATTATAATTATAAAATGAACGTTATGGGTATAAGTTATACAGAATTTATAATATACTTTTCTTTATAATAAAATTTAATAATGGTAAAAAAGTAATAACATAATTGTAAAAATACCTAAAAAGAAAAAAAAGTCTAAAAAAGGGAAGAAAAGGCTTTCTTCTCTGTCTGTTCGAAGAAAGTTGAGAAGAAATTCACTTTCTGTTCGAAGTACATCCCTACCAACCACTGACTCTGAGTGATTTAGATCTAAACCCTATCTCCGTTACTCTCAGTCTCTCGTTCGTCGCCGACGCCGTTGCTTGCCGCATCTGTCAGACTCCATCGCCATCTCTACAGAGTGAGCTCGCCGCATCTGGTTACTGGTATGTCTGCCTCTGCTCTAATGTAGTATGATTGATTACCGCATCTGGTTACTCCAATCATATTGAGATGCCCCCTGACAAATATTATGCGCTCTGAGTTTGTTAAAGTTGGTGTCTTGGTAATTTTCGCCGCAGCTCTTATGGTATCCTTTGCAATTATGAGCCACTGGAATTGGGACCCTGATTCATGCATCTGTAATTGTTGTCGGTTGTTTACATTTAATTGGGTAAGAAACCCCTACGTATTTCTAGCAGATGTTTTGATTTGTCATGAGACGACAAATTGGCCTGGGTACTCTTAGACCATTATTCTTTACTTTCAATTCTAGAATCATAGGCATGAGAACTTCTTGTCTGGGTTGATCAGTTGATTAGCAACTTGCCAAGCTCTTCTAGTTGACCCAACTGGCTGAAAAACCAATTCTGCTTTCTCCATGTCGACTGATGGAACAGAATAGCTGCTCTGTTTTGTTTTCTGGGGATTTAAAAGTTTGTTGTCTACTTCTTCAAAAGAGCCGTGTCTTATAACCAAAATCTTGGGTATAGATGCAACCCAGACAATGAATCCTTAACATTTTTTTAGCTACAAAAATTGTATGTACAAACAGTGGAGTTACCTTTTCTTTATCAATTGGCATTTAGGATACTGCTATAAATTGTTTATGCCTTGTTTCAGAGCTGTGAAAAATGGTTAACGTCTCTAGTCAAATGCACTACAGAGCAACAAAATTTAATTGTGGTGACCAATTTTTCTCATTTGTTCTTTCTGTCTCATTTAAAACGTGGCTGTCCCTGTCTTCTACATACTGCTTAATTGATGTCTCGTTCAATTGTTTTTTTAATCTCAACTAGACAAATTATAATCCAAAAGAAAAAACAAATTGTGCTGTAGTTCTTAGTTCTTGAAATTCATGTAGCTTGTTGTGCTGTAGTTTTAAGTAGGTGCACGAATTGATATACGGAGTTATATGGTTATGAGGTGGAGCTTAAAATGTACTTATTTATGTTCTGTACTGGTCCTCTTTCTTTTGTCTGTTCTGTGTAAAGTTCATAGTCAAAGTAAAAAAAAAATGGCACTTTACTGTCATCGACTTAGAGGCTGATAAGCTTTTTACATGCTTTTTTGGTGTCAGCATAGGTGATACAGCTATAGTGTATAAGGTCATCTTTGCTGGGCTGTCTGCTTTCTGCTTCATGCCAGCATTTCACTCTTCAAAGCTATTCTTTGTTCTGTTAGTCGAGTCAGGTTAGTGACAAGAGTTTTCAACTTCATTCTTCTATATCTTTTTCAAACACTTGTAATTCTGCTGGACTATGGTCCATTTCTGAACCAGGAATATATTTTTCTGACATGTTCTTGTTTAAAGCAGCTTTCTTTAGTTAGTAATTAGTGATATTTGTGGGGAAAAGGAATTTCTGGATAGATCTTGGCATTGGTTTCTTGAATTGAGCTTGTGGTAGTTGGGATATTGTGGCTGTTTGAGATAATTGTTTGTCTCTCAATTTGGTGGCTCAGCTCATGTTTTGCTGAGTTTTGGAATTTTGTGGGGAATTTTGGTTAGTTTGGGTACTTTCGCAGGGTGTTAAAGATGCTAACTGTGGGAGGTAGAATGTGGATACTTGTATTTGTATCGATGAATACATGGATTTTATGCCTCATTTACTCCAACTGATAGCTACTTGCTTGCTTGTGGATCTTCCCAAAACGTCACCTTGATTATATGCCTCATTTTTTGATCGAGTCGAGTCAAAAAGCTTGATTAGACTCGACTTGATAAGGCTTGACTAAAGGTTGAGCCTAATCGAGTCGAGTCTCGAGCTTAAAGGGAGTTCTTCGAGTCAAGCTTCGAGTATCGATTTTTTGGACTCGGTCGAGCTCGAGCCTAGATATATATGAGTCGAGTTGAGCTCGAGTATAGCAATACTCGAGCTTGACTTGGTTCGATTACATCCCTACTTCTGAAGCCGCTTCTCTTCTATTTCTTGTTCTCGGGCCTCTCTCACCATTGGTGAGCTTTACATTCTTCTCTTTCCCTACCCTGTCCACTCTCCACATCTTGAAGCTTCACTTTCACTCCCAGTTCTCTTCGCCTCTTCTTCTCCCATGTAGAAATCTCAAACATCGTTGTTGTTGATAATTGTGATTTGAGAAGACAAGTTTAGACTAAAACTGGTATGTGTTGAGTATTTTGGATTTGAGAAGACAAATTTAGATTACAATTGGTGACACTAGGACAAGGGAAAACAATTCTAGCTGTTTATTCTGCCATCTTTTTTTTGGGTTGAATTTTGAAGCTGTGAGGCTAGAGTCGCTAGACACAGGCAAATCTCGCTTTTATATATATATATATATTATATTTTTTAACACAATTGGTCGACTGGATCAGGACTAGCCAGAGTTCATCAAGTTAACTCCGATTCTAGCATCTCCGAGTAAAAGTAGCCCGGAATGGGGGGCTGAGTCGCAGTGACAACTTGGCCGAAGTTAAAATCCTGATCAGAAACCAATCAGTAGCATTATTGTTCAATGAAAACAGCTTTAGTACCGTAGATTTTTCATTTTTCCTTTTTCATTTTTTCTGTTTTGACCACTCCCCTAGTCTTTTCTATTTTTCATGATTTGCCTCTAGTTGTTTGTTTTAAAAGTTTTCATTAAGTTTCGAACTGAAAAATGTTAATTGTCTAGCTTAATAATCTTCTTGTTTAGTTGAGTTGTAATTGGCTTTAATTGGTTCCCTTTTCGGTACAGAACTCATGCAAGATAGCGATGGATGTCTTGCAAAAAAGCAGTGAAAGAATCCCTTTGAGTCAGAGGCCTGAATATGCCGATGTGAAGCCTGTCCCCCAGGATGACGGTCCAAATCCCATTGTCCCTATCTCCTATACTGATGAATTTAGAGAGACAATGGACTATTTTAGAGCAATATATGTAGCCGATGAGCAGTCTCATCGAGCTCTTCAACTCACCACAGAAGCCATCAAACTTAACCCTGGAAATTACACTGTTAGTTCTTGTTTTGTGTTGATGCATGCTTATATGTTTAGTACCCTCTATAGAGAAATTGGAGTAAGAAATTTTTGAAGTAAGAACCTATTGTTTTTGCTGTTTAGGGAATTTTGCAGTAAATATTTTATGATAAACAACACAGAAGAGTCTAAATTTTGACCTTTTTCTGCTATTTTAAATTCTCACAACAAGACCCTTTTTGTTAAAGTGATTTTTTGAATAATCATGACATGCATGTTGGCTATCTTGTTCATGAGTTCTTGATGTTATTAGATGGGCCCTTTAGGCTCTTGAAGCTTCGGAAAAAAGAAGAAAATATGGAGGGGAATTAGTTTGTGAAGAATTATGTGTATTAGGCATTTATTTTGCGTGTCTGTTGATTTAGGTATGGCAATTTAGGCGGCTAGTACTCGAGGCGCTTAATGCTGACATGAACAAGGAATTGGACTTTTCGGATGGCATTGTGGAAGGAAACTCTAAGAATTATCAGATATGGTATAGCTACATTTTTCTTCTGCATTTGGACCCTTATGTAGATAATTGCAGTTTTGTTGTTTATTGTACCTGGTGCAATTGATCAAGGACAAAGTCTAGGTGTCTGCAGACTGAATTGGTGAGGTGATCCTTTTGACAAATAGTTTTCTTGTTTTATCTGCATGTCCTCTTATTTTCTCCTCTCCTCTTAAGCTTTTAACAATCATATTTGTGTGGAAGCTTTGTTTCGTTTAACTTCTGGGGTTTGCTTGAATTCTGTTTGTTGCTAAGGAACTTTTTCTATGCTGGGACATTGTTCATTTCCAAATCTAAAAATACTTTATACATAACGGGAAAAAAAGGATTATCTTTGTACTAGTAGTATTTGGAAAGTTATCAGCACCCTTTGCAATACCTATATCATGTCAATTCGTATCATGTCAGTTATAGTTCTTTGGTTGGTAAAATAAAGTGTCATAATAACATGCATAGTTGAATGGAATATAATCTGACATGTAGTTCAAACATACAAGAGTAAGCTACTAAATTTGAACATAGAACTATTGGCTTTGGGATATTATCACATGGGCAAGCTATTTTGATATTGAATTTTGCTTAATTGAATGGGAGGCCCCTATGGAGTCGGTGAGGGTTTAAAATCATAACCTGACATGTAATTTCAAAAAAAGACCAATGTCCATCTGGGAACCAGCGAAAGCTGGATTGGATTTTGCTTGCTTGAAAAAAAAAAAGAATGGGTTTTTTTTTATTCTTTTAATACATACATTTGGCACAAGCATGCATTCAAAACTTTCCTTTTTATGTTGTTTCATCCAGTTCTATTGTTGGTTAGTTTCAAATCATTCTGTTTTTAGGGACTTGAAACTAATTAGAAAAATGACTTTCCAGGCACCATAGGCGTTGGGTTGCTGAAAATTTGGGAACTGATGCTTCAACTAGGGAGCTTGAGTTCACAAAGAAAATTCTTTCTAAGGATGCAAAACATTATCATGCCTGGTCTCATAGACAGGTAATTTTTGATTTAGTATTATTCTTTATTCTGTTCCATTCTTTGAGGTGCAAGAGTTCTCAATTGCCTTAAATGACAATCACCATGTTTGCTCTGGTAAAGGAGGTGTAAAGGGACTTTTGTTTGGTATGTGTACATGAAGAGACTGAATATCTAAATCTCTTGTGCAGTGGGTCCTTCAGGCACTTGGCGGATGGAAAGATGAGCTAGCCTATTGTGAACTACTCCTCAAAGATGACATTTTCAATAATTCTGCTTGGAATCAGGTAAAGAATGATGCTTTGGTTTGGATTAGATCCTAAATGTCATGATGTCTATCTCCAAACGTCATCGGTAAATAGGCCTCTTTTATGTTTTGGTCTACCAGTATACATTGAGTAATACAAGATGGTGTTGGCTTGAAAATAAAAATTACCAGCTGGTCCTTATCCTTTTTGCAAGTTAAAAAATTGGTAAATAAGGTACAAGATCAAGAAAACCAATTTATGCAAGTCCGTGAAGCCAGTTACTGTAGAAAAATCAAAGAGAGCCATGACTCTCTAGCCAGTCTTGACATCACTTTAAATATTCCTCCAGTTTAGATATATATTTTGCTCCTGTTTTCTCCATAAAACCTCCACTTGTGCTAGATGCCTAGAACAGCCCCAAAGCCACTCCAAATCCTCTCCTCTTTTCTAATCGTCTTAGGTGGACTATCTAGAGTTTTCTTTTTTGTGTCAGCATTGTTATTAGTAAAATCTCGCATTTCATCTCACATGATGACTCATTCTGCAACTTCGTGACCAACTTCGTGTAAAACCTTCATTGTTTTAATGTAAAACTAATTTAAATTTCCAAGTTCATGACCAGATGTTCTTGAAAATTCTTGAAAACAGGGAAAGAAAAATGCTGACTAATCTGATTAACAACGTTAATGTTTTCGACCCAATTTGTGCTAGATTGAATATTCGAAATCTTTTCCTAGTTGAACTGATTAAATCTTAGGTATTTCCAGGTAAACCAAACTAATTAGTTAGAAGCTTATCAACTCAAACCCTCTGACCTTATGCAACACAATTGTATTGTGCTTATATGCCTATTTTGATATCTTGTTCACAAAATCATCTGTTATTTGTTCTGTACTGATAGATAAATATGTAAAGTATTCAATGTGTGTCGGTGAACGTATAAAACGTGAGATTTAAAATTCAGCTTTTTATGGATCTAATGTCAAAACTTTACTGGTACCATCATCCCAAATGCTAGCAGATAGTTAATTGTGTGATTCCAACTTGCGTCATATAATCATCTGATATGCTATGAGGAGGTCATGTTTTAGTTGTCCTTGCATGATCTCTTGTCACAGTGTTGTACCTTTGTAGATTTCTACATCTGAGAAATCCCATGTTGAATTATTGGTTGCAGAGATATTTTGTTGTAACAAGATCTCCTCTCCTTGGAGGCCTGGGGGCAATGAGGGAGTCAGAAGTAACTTGTACAGTTAATGCAATTATGGAGCATCCTGAAAATGAAAGTCCTTGGAGGTACCTTCGAGGCTTATACAGAAATGATACACAGGCTCTAGTTAAAGACCCTCAAGTAGCGTCAGTTTGCTTAAAGATTTTGACTGCCAAAAACAATTACGTGCACGCCCTCAGCATGCTTTTGGACCTTCTCTGCCATGGTTTCCAGCCTAGCCTGGAGATAAGAAATGCTGTCTATGGTCTTTCTGACTCGGGTGCCCAAGGTTCTGATTTGGTGAAAGTGGTCTGTTCTATCCTAGAACTTGTAGATCCAATTAGAGCAAACTATTGGAAGTGGCGGAGGAACATGGCGCCTGCTCAAGCAGCTCAATGCTTGAAAGATGATGGATTGACTGGTTTGAGTTTATAAAGGTGCCCATAGATCTTTCGTCTTATCTTACCTTATTTCTCTACTCGTCGGTATTATCAGAGGAGAGAGATCCTGCATAGAAAAGAACTTCTTATGTGGAAAGTCCTTGTGTTGCTCTTGACACCGCCATATTGAACTATCCTTTTGTTGCAACACCACCATATTGAACTACCCACTGTAGCTGAACCTCTAATTTACTCGATTTGAGTACCGGATAAAGGATGCAATCGAAACATATAAGCTCTGCAACTTGGTGTCTTCTGTCTTTCTATTTTCACGATATTGACTTGTTTTTGTTTTTTTTTTTTTTCATAATGTAGCATCCTCCTCCATAAGATTTGCAGAAAATGAGTTTTATGACAATGGGATGCTCCCCACCTATTCCATTCTCGCCCCTTTTGGGCTCTAGACCGCAAGTTTCTAGTAACTATAGGCGTTTCAATGTCACTACTGACAAGCATTCTAGGAGAAATTAAACTAGTGATGGACTTTGTCGGTTTATATTCCTGTATCACTTGTTTGCAAGTAACCTTGTCAGTTTGTCTCAGTGGTTCACTAGTGTTGGAGATGAATTTGTTCAAAGCTCAAATTCATGTAGCAGGTGTCAATTAAAACTTCAAAATTCCGTAGAAGAGATTAGGAAAAGTGAAGACATGGATTCTAACTGCTGAAGAGCTCGAAATGAAGGTGTGAATTGAAACCATACATCGCACGACGATTAGCTAAATCTCCTCGGCTTATGATTTACAGACTCGAGATTCACTAAATTTGATCTTCTTTAATACACTTTAGTTCTTCCACATCAAATTCTTCCATATTAATCCAAACATAAGAACATATCCATCCTTCAAATTCTCTCGGGAAAATCCTGAGGCCTACTTGTTATTTTTGCAGTGATCCTCATATAAGCAAACTACCTCAGCTGAAATATTTTGGAATTGAAATGGCAGAACAAACATTGATTATTTTTATCGAAATTGAATTACCTGAGGTGTGGCCTCTGTTTCGTCGACTTCTTCCATTATCCTATAGGCTGAATTTGTCGTTACAGGGAAAAACAGAGAAAGAGCGCGAAAAACTGAAATTTAAAATTGATTCTGTGTTTTAGGCTTCAACTTATGACAGGAAGGGGTGGCCAATGCGTTTGTCCCGAAATAATCAGTCGGACTTTGCTGCTGCTCCAAGCGTGATGCCTTTGTAGAGAAGAGAGGAAGGCGTGGTGGATTAAAGTTGTCAAATACGCCTTCCATAATCAAGGGCTTCTGATTTTGAAGGCGTGGGCTTAAGACGGCAGTAAACAACTGAAGGCGCTATAAAGGGAGGATTCTATTTATTGTGATTTTGAATTCCTTTTTAAGAGAAGGGATGAATTTAGAAACTTTCCCTGTGGTTAATTATCACTCGTTAACATCCCTGCCCTCCCTTACTTCTTTTTTTTTTTTTTGCTTTATTGTTTAACTGTATACAAATTATGAGTATATGAATAGAAGGTTGAAAATATAAAAGCAAGAAGCATGAAGGCGTAAGTTTGATGAGCAAAATATAGCACCCACAATCATAAGTAGCAAGTACTATCAAAAATACCAATCAGTTTATGTTTAAAAATTTACATGAGTTGTTTTCAGGTTACCAATAAAAATGTTTTACTTAGTGAATAGAGGTGTTTTAGTTGACTTGAAGGAGTTTCATAAATGGTTTTAAATTTTTTTAAATTTCCTAGTTTTCTATTTTCAAATTGACTTACTCTAAGATTTTTTTTTTTAAAAGGATACAATATTTAAAACTATACTTGAAGACTTATTTGAGGTGTTTTCAAGGGTATTTTTATTGAAAAGTATTTCGAGTGATATTTACAACCTTTATATACTATATTAATTTTATAATTATTATTGTTCACTCAGATGACACGAGGGTTTTGTAACAACGTCAACAACTTGCAATTTATCATTAAAGTTAAGGAATTAAATTGATTTTTTATGACAATTAAGCCATTAAGAGACCATAAAAGCTTCAATATCAAAATGAAATAATCTTCTTTCCCAAAATTAATTTTTAAATCTTATATTAGGAATTGGGGTGACAAAATTATAAAAGTTAAAAGTTAGAGAATAGCTAGTTTGGATGTTTAGGTTAGAAAAGAAAAGATGGGAAATGTTAAGTTATGAAAGAAAATAATAGAATCAAAAGGAAGATATGAGATTTTAACTTTGTTTGAGACTTTTAAAAGGAAATATAGTGATTTTGGATATATATGTCAATAAAATTTCATTCAATAGTTTTGTGAGGATAAAATGGGCAATTTGAAAAAGTTTTGTAAGCTTCCATCAGTTTTCTGTCAGCTGCAAACTATAGGTCCTTAAACGTAATAATGGCTCAATTTGAGCAATAGTCAGTTAGCTCAATAGATTAGCAAAACGGTGCAGTTTTGGTCTTACTTAAGTACCAGTAATACGATGCCGTTCCAATTAATGAGGTCATTAGGTAGTTAAGTCGATTGTTAGCTATCTGACAAATCTGTTAGAGTTGGTTATATAAGTGGGACTCACGTGTAAGGAATACGATCATTGATCACATTTCCTTTCCTCTTGCATTCTTGCCTTCTTCCTCTCTCTCTCTCTCTCTCCTGCTCTCCCTCCTCTGATTCTTCCCCAATTCCTCTAATTCTTCTGATTTCTTCTTTTTAATCCAATTTCAATCCTAACAATTCCAGAAATTAACCTCGAGTCCGTGACATTTTCATTCACTTTCGGCCTGCTTTTGGTCAAAAAAATTGCACTGTAGTAGAGTTGGCAATTTGTCCCAAGTCCCAATGGGCTACCCATGCCCAAAGGAACTTTGGGCGGGATGGGTATTATAATTTGGTATTGGGTTTAAGTTGGGACACATCCCAACTATACCCATTAATGAATGGGAAAGGATGGGAAATACTTGGGTACCCACTGGGCTCAAATGGCAAGGGCTCCGTTTGGATTAGCTGTTTTTTGTAGGTGTTTTTGAAATATTTTATTGTAGCAGTGTATATGAAAAATTTTTACTATAAAATTTTTTTGAAATATTTGATATATTAATATGGATGGGATGTTTTTTGAGTTATTGTATATTACTGTAACATTGTATTTGAAAAACTTATTTTTTGAAAAAAAAGTCAATCCAAACGGAATCTTAGATTCAAAAATTATCTTTAACAATTTTTATAGTTATACCAGCGAATATAATCTAGTAGTCTTCCTAGTCATTATCCACAAGAATTTCCAGCATTTCAGTTAGTTTAGACCTGTCATCCTTGGACAATGATAAGGATAAATATTCAACATCCTAAGGACCTTGGCCATCTTGATATATGTTGGAATATGGTTGTATATCTATCTTTTCCTTTATTTGTTAATCCAATTTTTGGTGGGAATCTTGAGTATAAAGCACTTGCATGTTTATTTAATAAAACTAAAAGAAATTTAATAAATCAAAAATATTAAAATTATATAAAAATAAAAAATGAATTAAAGGAAAAAAATATGTAGAAAATGGATTTGGGTATTGGGCGAGATCAATCTAAACCCATCCCAAAATGATCCCGCCCAAGTTAGTCCCAAAACACATATGGGTAAGGTTGAGCCCAAACCCATATGACTCGGTTCCATCTCAAACCCAAGCAAATCCCGCCCATCCCGCCCATTTTGCCACCTCTACACTGTAGTAGCGCGTGGCATCTTTCAAAATCCGTTCGTTTGGTTTCTTTTCAGTCTCACTTGAAATTCCCAAACGTAGGAAAATCCATCTCTCTCTTCCTTTCTTTTTGATTCTGTTGGAATCTCAACTCCCAAATTAGCCATTAAAGTGATTTTTGTAACATTTGGTCCTTAGGGAAATGCTTATGATATTGTGGCCTACCGGAGGTTATTGTACTCATAGGGTACAGAAAACACCTATTTCACATTTTCACCCACTTCTCGTTGGACAAAAGGAAAGAGAAAAGTGGTCATGACCTCCTCTCTAATTGTATGGGACAAATCTATGTGTAGCTTTAATGCTGTCTAGTACTAATTTCTTTTTCTTCTTCTTCTTTAAATGTAATATGATTTGGAGGTTTTGAATTCGGAATCTCTCACTTATACTCTCTCTTATCGTATCACCAAATTCATTCATTCCCTTTGATACTAATTTCAGTTGGTAGTAAGCAGATAGACTCCAAGGCGGACAACACTACTCAAGCATCATGAAAAAAGATTAATAAAAATCAGGAAATAGAAAAATGCTCAACTAAATTGGTGTAACGTAGTGGCAAATGGCAATATTCCTCCAAGCTCCCCAAATCCATTTCCCCTAATAGCCATCATCCTTTTTAAAAAAAAAAAGGTCATATCACTAATGCCCATCGCCCTATAAGGCTCAAAAAAGGCCTTTTTCCTGCAATGTATTGAGGTAGTTTCAATTTGTATTAAAAGTACGAACAAACCAATGGAAATGTGACACATTTCCAAGTGTTGAAAACAACGCTGTTTTGACCCATGAGATGGGCTTTCCCAGTTGAAGGCAATATAACGCACAGGCAATCTGACAATCAAAAGCAGTCTAAAACGTAAAACTAGGCATGGCAACTGGGCGGGGGATCCGGACCAAAAAATTCCTCCCGCCTCCGGCCCATCCCCTGTCTATGTTCCCCCCACTCCCGTCCCGCCCCGTCTTTTCTACAGGGTGCTTGCAGGTGATAATTTTTTTTTTTTGTAAAAGTTTTTATTTAATAGAGCAAAATTAAATTCAAAAAAAAAGAATAAAATACGAACCTGAAAAAAGTGGAAAAAATAAAAATGAAACATGAAAAGTGTTGAAATAAAACACCAAAAAAATTAAGAAACTCAATTGGATTGTATAGATAACATTTGGGAATACTCATAAAATGTTTAACATATTTGTGTCAAATATCAATTAGAAATTTAGAGAGAAATGAAACAAAAATTATGTTTAGTTATCAAATATTCTAAATGTATTATTATTATATTATATAATCTATTGCATTTATGTATATTAATAAATTAAAGTGAGGGATGGGTAGGAGATGGGGCACAAGTATCGTCCCCGCCCCCCCCCCCCCCCCACCCTATTTAAAATAGGGGGAAAAAAAATTCCCCCCGTCCCGCCCCATTCCCACAGGACGGGTACCCGCTTCCATTGTCATCCGAATGTAAAACGTTTCATGTAATCGTTGGATCACTTATTAAAGTAATCAAAAGGGTAAATGAAGAAGAATATTG